TGTTCCTTTGGTCTATATGTCTGTTTTTGTGCCAGTACCAGACAGTTTTGAGAACCGTGACTTGGTAATATAGCTTGATGCCTGGTATTCTGCTTCCTCCAACTTTGTTTTTCTTTCTCAGGATTGCTGCAGCTATAAAGGGTCTTTTTGGAGAGTTTGTTCTAGATCTTTGAAGTATGCCATTGGTATTTTAATGAGGATTGCATTGAAGCTGTAGATTGCTTTGGGTAGTGTGGACATTTTAATGATGTTGATTCTATCAACCCAGGAGCATAGTACGTTCTTTCATCTGTTTATGTCTCCCTCTATCTCTTTTTTTTTCAATGTCTTGTAGTTTTCTGAGTACAGGTCTTTTACCTCCTTAGTTAAGTTTATTCCTAGGTATGTTATTTATTTATTTATTTTTTGGTGCAATAGTAAAAGGGATTTTTTTTGTTTTGTTTAGTTTCGCTTTCTGTAAGTTCATTATTGCTGTATAAAAAGGTCATAGATTTCTGGATGTTAATTTTGTATCCTGCTACTTTGCCAAATTCATTTATTAAGTCTAGTAGTTTCTTGATGGAGTCTTTGGGGTTTTCTATGTATAGTATCATGTCATCTGTGAATAAGGACAGTTTTACTTCTTTTTTCCCCAATTTGGATACCTTTTATTTCTTCTTCTTGTCTGATCACTATAGCTAGCACTTCCAGGACTACTAGTATATGAAACAGGAGTGGTGAATGTGGGCATCCTTGTCTTGTTCCCATTCTCAGGGGAAATGACTTTAGTTTTTGCCCATTGAGTGTGATGTTGGCTGTAGGTTTGTCATATAAGGCTTTTATTATGTTAAGGTATGATCCCTCTATTCCCACTTTGCTGAGAGTTTTTAGCAAGAAAGGATTATGGATTTTGTTAAATGCTTTTTCTGTATCGATTGATATGATTATGTTATTTTTGTCTCAGAATTTGCTTATGTGATGTATCACATTTATTGATTTGTGAATGTTGTATCATATTTGCATCCCCGGAACAAATCCCACTTGGTCATGGTGTATGATCTTTTTAATGCTGAATCTGATTTGCTAGAATTTTGTTGAGGATTTTAGCATCTATGTTCATAAAGAATACTGGCCTGTAGTTCTCTTTTTTTTGTGGTGTCTTTATCTGGTAATGGGATTAGGGCAATGCTGGCTTCATAGGAAGTGCTTGGAAGTGTTGCTTCTTGAATTTTTTGGAATAGTCTGAAGAGGATAGGTTTTAGTTCTTCTTTGAATGCTTGGTAGAACTCCCCTGTGAAGCCATCCAGACCAGGGCTTTTGTTTGCTGCAAGATTTTTGATCGCTGCTTCAATTTCTTCGGTAGTTATTGGCCTATTCAGGTTTTTTTAATTCTTCCTAATTGAGTTTTGGGAGCTATTTTTCTAAGAATATGTCCATTTCATCTAGGTTATCCATTTTGTTGGAATAGAGCTGTTCATAGTATTTTTTCACAATCCTTTGTATTTCTATGGACATAATTTACTCTTAATTCACGAAGAACTTCAAGTCCATTTACGACTTCCATCACTTTACTTTGCCAATTCAGATGCAGAATCTAAATAAATTCAATGCCGTTGTGCTAAGAAAATCAAGTTTAGTTTATGAGTTTTTATTTTTTATTTGAAATCTTCCTTTTTTGCTTTCTTGCTTACTTTAAATCTTGATTGTTTTCTCTGTTTCTATACAAACCATTGAGGATTCACCAGAAATACTTGTATAAAAATCTATATGACACATAGCTACAGAGATGTAATGCTGAAATGCATTTCTTTTAAAATCCCACACACCTGCTGAAAACACAGCAATGATTAGGCTAGGCATAAAAACATACAAATTGCGATGTAGAAGCACAACTCTCTCTTCACTGTGTGCCTGGTGGAGTTCTGCATAAACCAAATGTCCAAGAGAGTAGGAGCAAAGCATTAGTTTAATCTTCTGTTAAGTTTCTGAGCTAATCTAATTTTCCTCCCAACCCCAGAAAAATTAGGAAACAACTCAGGTACAAGGTAGCCCAGAACTCGAGTGTAAAGACAGACTTTAGATGGAGAGTCCCTGGATGGGACCACAATGGTCATGGTGAGGGCACACCCACAAACAGCTTCCAGCGAAGGCCTGTTAAAAGGGGATTTCAAGGGGTGCTCAGAACCCCACATTGGATGCCCAGTGTCAAAACACTTTATTCAAGGTTTGATGTAAGTGTGACAAGATCTTATGGATAATGTATTCTCTGATGAACTGGAATGTTTAATTTGAAAACAGTCTCATCTCCCCCAGATTGCCACCTTAGCCAGACACATCACACTGGAGGTCTGTGAAGATGAGAAGGCCATGGTGTTAGCGCTAACAGTCATTCCATTTGTTCCTCAAAACAGTAACATTTAAATTTGGCTTTCTTTCATTCTTTTCTTTTCTTTTTCATTTTTTTTGGATGTGGTGCATGCGTTTATTAGAAATATTGAATTAGAACCAGATGATATTTTCAGCTTAACTCTCCTCCCTTTCCTGTTATTCTGAGAAAACAATTCCAGATCCTGGGAGTGTCGGTGAGAAGACTATCCCGGTGCTCAGCAATGAAGCATTGTCTAAGTTTAATAATGGTAGAAAACTCACTCACGACAAGATCCTTGTCTGATGAACTCATAATTAATTTTGTTTTAAGTGTTGCCACTTAAAGAAATTCCGTTGCTTCTAATATTTTTTCAACTTCTGTTTTGAATTTTCCTGAATTTATAAAAGCTACATGGTTATATTTTCCAGACATGTTGAACAAATAATTTTTCAAGTGGGATGTAAGAAGCTTTAATGAAGCTAAAAAGCTTTTGCAGGTTAAGGATATTACAGAATCACCTTCGACATTTCTTTAATAATTTTGTTTAGAGAGTTTTTACATTTTGAGTCATTTATATTTCATTTCTGAGATTTTTATTGATCCTTAAAACCCACCCTTATAGTCATATTAAATTACTTCAATAGTATTTTAATGATTCAAATTTTTTTCTTTACACTTTAAAAACATATGTATTTTTATTTATTTCAGAGAGGAAGGGAGAAGGAGAGGGAGAGAGAGACAGAAACATCAATGATGAGAGAGCATCATGGATCAGTTGCTTCCTGCACGCCGCCCCTGGGGATCGAGCCCGCAGTACAGGTATGAGTCCAGTCTCAGTAATTTAGGGAGTTGGCTGGATATAGACATTTTCTTTTGATTTGTTTTGCAGACTAATCAATTCATGAACAGGCTAGAACTTTCAAGCTCTTACCTTAATCCACAATCAATGGATGATACTCACACTGACCTCTTAAAAAAATAAAGTGTTCGTCTCCACTTAGCAAAAAAATGTGTGCTTTATTAAATTTGGACTGTATTCTCTGGCAAAAGCTACACCACAGTTATACTGTTTATAAAGAGTCCAAAATACTGGTAAGGCCAAATACCACACAGACTAATCCCTAAAAAGACTCATTTATTTATCTTTCCTAATAGTTCCTCACTTCTCAACCCAATACTGCTGGAAAGAAGTAATAATTCTACAACCAAACCACTTTGAATCCCAACCTCCTTCATCCCCAGTGAGGGAAGATGGGCTCTCCATTGCTGTTTGCTGGTTTAGAAAATATGAATGTGTGTTTAACTACAACCCTTTAACGGTACTTTCAGGAGAGAGAATGGCTTCAAGCCCAAAAGAACAGAATGTGTGACTCTTGAGAAAAACAGGATTGAATTTCTCCTTAGTTGTTCTTGCCTAATTTCTGATAAGGCTTTGAGCAAAGAAAAAAAAAATGGAAACTCTTTAAGCTCCCAGCATCTGAATATCTCAGCAAACAGAAGGGCATTTGTTTATGACATATCTCTGGGGAATTCCCCCCTCCTACCCCAGGATCCTTCCCAGTTCCAATGCACCCTGATGCTCACCTGCTGGTCTCGCTTTGCTGTCAACATTTCCTTTAAAAATAGACCTTGCATTTTAGTTCTCTCTTTTTTTTTAATGGAGAGAATAGAATTTCGTCTTTCATAGTGACACCATAGGACTCTAACTCTAGAAAGCTGCACAAATAAACTTTGAAGCTCTCTCCATGGTGGCCACATGCTGTCCCCGTCTCCACTGCACCCCTGGCCCCCAGCACCATGTGCATCTCTTCGTTTAAGAGACACAGCATGTGGCTGGAGATGAAAATGCGTCTCTGCTAAGTCAGAGGAAACCAAAAATGTCTGGTTACAATGGCATGTTTCCAGTATTTGCTTTCAGGAGATTATAGTTCCATTTAACCAAATTCCCGTTAGCAGATGTGATCTGGGCATGCCCTCGAGAGACAATATGATACTGAAAGGACCAAACAAAAGATGAAAACAAACAGACAGTGAGATACTCTCAGAGATTTCAGAAGCAATGCAAAGGGACTTCTGAGATGCAAAACAGTCAACTATCAGCAATTTAGACAGTGAAATGTCACCCAGCAAATGAGAATTTGTTTAGCAAACCGTGTATTCAACTTCCAGTTTAAAACTAGATTTTCCACATTTAACACTAAGATGCACTGGAGAGGATTGAGTTTAATCATCACTAGTCCTAAATTCCAAACCACACCTGCTATGTTAGTTCAATTATTTAAAAACTAACCTTTTAGAAAACAATGTTTTGGTTCAATCATAGCCAAGCAAAGTAGAATTCCTTATTTTCTTATTTCTTTATTTCATGGACTCTAGTGGTATCAAAAGTATTCTTTCAGGTGGTATTTTTTCCTTCTGTATCTTACTTCACTTCTGAAATTGAGCATTCATTAATGGGCCTGTACATATAGACAATGACTTCTGTTAAAGGAACTCATTCTTGTTTACCATACTGTTTACCCTATTTATATTGAATCCTTGCAGCATCATTGTGAGTTGCTTGATCAACTAAACTTTGCTTCTAACTCTGGATGGTCCAAGGAATTGAGTATAAATAGTCACCGTCTTCCTTAAGCAAGCAGGAGAAGGGTGTCTTTTACTGCGAGGGTGCCCTCCTCCTGTGGGTATTTGGAAGAAATGAAAAAAGTTGCCTGGAAGAGAGCTTGGGGGAGAAGTAGGTAGAGGTAAGTCAGTAGGGGGTATATCTGCACTGGAATTTTGACTCTGAGCATCTTCAAGTACATTTATTTTGTGATGACTTTTAAAAGTCTTTATGTCATGCTCATATGAAGTTAATGCTTTCCTTTATAGTGTTATGTGAAGATGTTCCTGAAGTGAGTCAAGTCTTAAGGTTCCACTGTAGAAACAAGCCATCTCAAGCCAAAACTATTCAATCTAATTTGGGAACTACTTTGAAGAATACGTCTACACAAAACATTCCAACAGGTATTGCAAAGTTATAAAAACAACTCAATTTTTCTAGATCATCATTTGATTCTAATTAGATTTAAATAATTATAAATCAAGTTCATTGTGGTAACTGCATGATGACAGCAAGCAATTTTGGTAAAAACATGGGGGACGAAAGCATTTCTTCTGTCTACCTACTTAGGGAAAAAAATCTATGAGTGGAAGGAAGATGAAAATCATATGTATCTAGAAGGAAGCACAGGACTGGGACAGTTGTATGCAGTGAGGAAACACAGTTCCAAGGCAAAAGACTTTATGCAAAGGCACAAAGGCTGGCCTGGTTGGTGTGACTCAGTGCTTGAGCATCGAACTATGAACCAATAGATCACGGTTCTATTCCAGTTCAAGGCATATGCCCTGGTTTTGAGCTCAACCCCCCAGCAGGGGGCATTCAGGAGGCAGCTAC